GAGACATATACCAGCAAGGGAAGCCGAATATCAACTTCTGTTAAATCAATTAGACCATCATCAACAGAGGTTCCATGTAAGGGTTCATCACTTGGAGGTTTTAACATAACCTGTATTTTCCCAAAAAAAACTAACAATGTTAAACCAAATCTATTACTTCAAGAAACTAACATACAAGCCATTGTCAGCTGACCAAGTATATAAAATAGCAAAATAAACATACAGTTGGCAAAATGAGAAGCCGCTAAAGACAATTAATAATAATCAGGGAGAAGAAAGTAACTATAAGTTTCTATCCTCTTTTTCCTCATCCTTGGAGGGAGGAACAACGAGGATCGGATTCAGCTGGAGGGATCATATGCATCAGTAGTGCATCAAACAATTATTCCCTGNAATTATTCCCTTATCAATAAATAACTATGGAAGCAACAAATTAATATGAAGAATCAATACCTGTATGATTCCTGCATGATCACCCCTAGAGTGCTCAGGAGCAGAAACCATCCAAGTGCCAGGCCAGTGGGTCCCATCTGCCATCCAAGTGGCCTTTGTTATCTTGATGGGTTCCAAAAGCTCATCCCCAGCTGCCTCTCGCTGAAGCTTCATGGCCTTGATTTCTTCTCGAGCATTATAGGCATCAGAACGCCGACGAATTGAATCAGGGAGGCTATTGATTCGAACCTTAAATTCATCATATTCACGCTTCACCCGTCTGCGGTCCTTGACAAAATCTTGACGTACTTTGTTCTTGTAAGGGTCTTTCTTCAAGCTGAAGTAGGTTTCTGGGTTCCTTGGTTCAATATCATGTTTACGACAAAATGGGACCCAAATGTTGGCAAAACTTGCAGCTTCAGCCATTGCTTCAAACGTCAGAAGAGCACCTCCATCATCAGAAATATAGCACGAAAGCTTTTCAACAGGGTAATCAGCAGCAAGGATAGACAGTATCGTGTTTGCAGTGACTAGTGGTGGCTCTTTCTCAGGATCTGCAGTAGAGACAAAAATGTCTATACCTGGAAGATCAGATTTTCCTGTGGGATTGGTAGGAGTTGGTGTTTCAAATTTTTCTTTCAAAACATTAAGATCAGTAGCACGGTTGACGGGGCATAACTTTGGAAGCTGGTCAAGTAGCCAAGAGATTGCAAACCAAATCTCACAGATTATGGACATATACCATAACCATATAGCATCATTGTTTGGATGGGTGATCCTCCATTGAAGAAATAATCCAAGAACAACAACACGAATAAGAATCAAGAGCCTGTATACATGGAGCTGCGTCAAGACACCTCTCAAATAGGTAGAAGAAAATAACCAACAATAAGACAAACACTACCCACCATATAAAATTGGTACTACTTCAAGATAAAAACATCTGCAACAAACACAGAATCTCATGCACAGGCGTATCCGATATAATAATACAATAGTTACAAATTAAGCACAATAGCACTTGGATGTGAGTAGTTTCGCCTAATTTTGTTCTTGAATTCAAAGAAGAAGTAGAGAAGAAAGAATGCAGTAGAAACTGTTAGGGACAAGAAATTACCGGTATGGGCTAAGAACTCCAGCCGGTATTTTTAGTTTACGTGTAAGCGGCCTCCAAGGCTTGTTCAGAAGTTCAGAAGGCTCACCAACACGATCTTCTTTGTCATTTCCAAATCCCTCATCCTTTGGCCATATTGCATTTCCATATCCATACGTCCCTTTTGTCTCGAATAACCATTTATTATGATCAAAATCCCCTGTTTGACTCCTCATCAACCCTGAGTGGCTTCTTATTATCGCTGACTTATTACCTGATCGCATCAACGACAACCTCCGCTCCATTTTAGACATCCCAACGTTTGAAGGTAAAGACAGAGGTCGTCCAGAAGGATCCACAGCATTCTCAGCCAAATCGGTGTTCTTGTAAGACTCTTTACAACCAGGACACATGCCATCACCAGTTTTGACAGCATCAATGTAACAATCCCGGCA